TCTCATCCCATTGAAAACTGTTCTAAACCATAAACTTGTAATTAAAATGAAATAGAAAATGGAGTGCACGTGTAATCATTAAAGACTATATGCAGAAGGATATATTTTTTCCTGGTTGAAATTTAGTACTTAAATCTATATTTGTGTTTTATATTAACTTACAATTTATCACTGTTAACAGTTAACCTTAATAAACAGTTTGTGTTCTAACATCAGCTGTTTTATTTCATCCCATATTGCCAGAATTGGCAATATGGGATGAAATAAAACCTGCTGTAATCTGTTCCCCCTGTCTAAATCAGACAAAATAGGTCCCAGCTTTTTCATTTTTGGCTTATAAGCATCTTTTATGATGACAATTTATTCCTGAAACTTTGGAGTTGATTGACCTTTGTTTCTTAAGGTTACAAGGGGGGAACAAATTATACCAGGCCACCTGCTGTAAAGGGCAATTTTGCAGGCAACTACCTACTATGTAGCATTGTCAGTTTGTTCTGCCCTGAAATAAATTGGCACTTTGAAACATATCTTTGTTGCTTGTATATAGAATTGCTTAGCAGAGTTTCATGATGCAAATGCATGTCAAGTTCTTCAACAGATGGTATTATTCTCCAGTGCAATAACATTTCTAAAATGAAGGCTATAAGGGCATAATGTGAACCTTTAAAAAAAAAAGTAACTAAATAGTTACTTTTCACAGTAACGCATTACCTTATGGTGTAAGTAACTGAGTTAGTAACTAAGTTACTTTTGAAATGAAGTAACTAGTAACAGAAACTAGTTACTGCTTTTCAGTAACTAGCACAACACTGACTGTATATGATCAACAAATAGCTCAAGTTACAATTGGTAAATAAAAGTATAATAAAGTACATCTTCAACTAAAATTATTTTTATTCAAAAGTTACCTTTAGGTATAGAGGACGATCTTTTATTTCCGGATGGATCATCTAAATAAGTGGTCCTCATAATTGTCAATCATTCTGATGATATGTTTTTGTAAGACCGTTCTATGTGCTCTCCTAGCAAAGCATTATGGGATGTGCTGTCACAGCAGCCAGCTGTCGCCATAGGCTGTCGCTATCCGACAGCAGAGGCTAATAATCACGATGGCGTAGGGACTGCGTGGTAGAGGAGGAGTTATGTGATCAACGGAGCAAAAATCTGTGCTCATCTGTCCGAACGGTCAGTCAACTGAGTTTGCTATAAAGTCCAGTATATAGCCCCTGCTGTATGTGGACACAGTAAGCTTGTATAAGCTAAGAAAACAGCACATTTTAAACAGGGCGTGCACGAGGAGACATTTTTTTAGGTGGAGAGGGCAGGTCTTTTAAAAAATCCTCCACAAAAAAGTCAGTAACTGTAATAAGACACAAGTATTTAAAGAACACAAGTATTTAAAGACATGCTTCAAATACTATTGTTTAGATGTCAGAGGGAAGATAATTTACAGTTCAGTTAAGGCGGCTGCATATCTCTATGTTGAGGAAGAACTAATCACACTTCGTCCTGTGACTCAGAGAAAAATGTTGCAGAAAGCCTGTTTTGCAGAATCTGGTTCTGAAATTAACCAGCAGACCCAATTAACTTGAAAAGGCTATAAAAAATGATGAAGATTCTTGGTCTGTCATTCAGAAGATCTCCCCACTGGACTTTCCTGGAAGAAAGAGTCTGATGAGAGGTTTTGAACAGATATCTTTGTCCCAAGTACAATGGGGCAGGATTCCATGTCCATGTGGGAGTGTCTTGTGGAGGCTCTTAGGGATGGGGTGATGCAGTAGTTAGACACAAGAGCAATGTTAAAAGAAAAACAGCATTGAAATTGGCTCCCAAAGCCCAAAATAAATATCAAAGCTTATAGCATAACACATACACATGGAAAATGTTCAACTTCCTTATTTGCCTCACAGTGCAACGCATCAATGTTGCAATTTAAAGAGGATAAACAGCATTTTTTACAAAAGGAGGACCATTTTAAATATATATATAATATTTCTAAATAGGTCAACTTTGTGTTAACATAGATTTTGTCTGTATAGTAAATCACATGTATATTTATTCTTATAAATATGACCAGCTTCTTCTGCCTTTTCTCTTTCCCGCAGCTTTTGCCTCTGTCACTCATTCCAATAGAAGCTCAGATATGCTGTTGAGACACATTAACCAACCGCTGAGCTGTTTTTCACAAATTAGAGCTTGCAGAAACAACACACACTTTTTATGAGTGGATAGTACTCTTGCACAGAAACACAATATCTTTCATGTGTTTAGATTGCAGTGATCTCATCAAAGGGGTCTCGCCTCACTCACTCATTAGACCAATCAGCTGTCATTAAGCTTCACTAATGACAGTATCAGTGCAGAATGTCATCGCAGTGAGACAAGCTCATCAACAGGGGATGAGGTCATCATTATTCGACAGGGGACACACTTGTGTTTCTGCAATTAGGCTTAATCTCTTCATGTCTGTGACCTTGTGTAGTCTGGAAATGCATCAATGATACTGATATTTCAGCATGAAACTGTTTACACTTGAGAAAAGAATGTATTTCACGCTGATGCCCAAAAATCCCCCCTTCCAGCTCCTGTCACCCTTGTTTTCTTCCAGTTTATGCGAGTTTTCATCAATTCTTAAATACAGTATCTGCTAAGAATGTAATATAAACTTTGCTGTTTATTTAAGGTTAATTTTAAATTGTATGTGAATAATTTAGACCAAAGTATTCAGAAACCCTCTCAGCTTTATCTATTCTCCTCAGACAGTCATGAAAAAAAACAAACAAAAGAAGAACTTAAAGGCCTTAAGTCTTTCAGAAAATAAAATAAACACACTCTATATGCACTCTGATGCTAATTGGATAATTAACCATTTCGATGTGTGAAGAAATTGGAGCAGAGTAGATTAGTTTTATAGTGTCTGTTAAGTGCAAAAGCAGACACTTTTTAAGTAACCTCGTAACTGTCTCTAAAATGACTTGAAACTAATAAAAAGCTGAAACAGTGGAGCCATTTCGAAACCTTAGATAAACAGTGTTGCAGCAACCCTTGAGGCAATTGTTCATTTCAAGCAGGTTTTCCAACTTCACAATAAGACAACATAGCAAAAGATTTCAATGTTACTCCTTCTCAAAAAGTTAGGGATTGGGTATTGGGCATTAGAAGTTCCAGATCTTCCCATACATGTTCAGTAGGATTATGATCTGTGTTTATCACTGTCATGTTGGGGCCTAAAACTGAAACCAGGAACAATGTATCGCTTATTCAGACTTTAGTTTGCAAGGATTCAAAGTACTTGGATAAACAGCAAACAATCCACACAACAAAACTCTTTTAATCTTTTACATTAGGGTTTTTTTTTTTTTTTTTCCCTATTTAAAAGTATCCTCTTTACTTCTGCTATTTCTTACATACACGTGACATACAGTATCACGTATTGATGAGTTGTCTACTAGAACCTTTATAATGTGTTTTGATACATTTTTGCCAGGTTTTTTTTTCTACCTACAGTGAATCCCTTTCAGCTCTCTTCATTAAGCTCATTAGGATTCAAAATGAAATGGACATTCTGAACAGAAAGTGAAGAACAATACCCATGGAACAGTTCAGAGGACTTTACATGACTCCTTTTCCCCCACCGGCAAAAATTTGTTGAAAAGACTTTGAAACTATTACATGTTTTACATCCAAACGGGGTCTACATTTGGTTAAAAAATAAAAGGTTTAAAACCGTAATTTTCCGATCATTGAAAAGATGTTGAAAACTGGGTTTGCAATGTTTTTTTACAGTCTGTTATTGGATTAAAGTGGGACAAAATCAGACAAAATAACCCAACCCAATTTTCAACAACCATTTCTGAAGTAAATAAAGACAATGAAGGGCTGACCAGATTTAGCCCAAAAACCAATGTTTAATAGCGTCTACCATCTGATCGTCCACATTCTGGAAGGTTAGCTACAGACCTATAAACCTTGTATGTAAAGCTGCTCAGATATCTTCCACATCTGTGTTCTACGGACCATGTTCAGAGAAAATAGAAATACCTTGACTTCTTTTTGTTCCTTTAAATTAGCTGAATTTCTTAAAAAACAAGTGAAAAACTACTATACACTGTTTTGTGGAGATTTTGGATGACCCAAATGCAGAGACGGCAAGAGGCAGAGATGAATCTTGGCCAATACAGGTCCAAGGCAAAGAAGCCAAAGTCCAAAAATAACAAAGTACAGAACACCGAAAAACAGGAGATGTTAGAGAAAACAGAAATGAGGAACAAGGAACGATGAGAAACAAGCACTGATGAACTGCAGAGGAGAATTATATATGGGAGACAGAACCAAGAATTGAGTAATCAGATAATTGGGAGCAGGTGTAGATAGGAGGAGCTAGAAAGGAGCCAAAGGGAAAGAAAAAGGGCACTAGGGGCAAGAAAGAGCAACCAGTGAAAACAGGGCTCAACTGTAGCTAGAAAAAAACTAGAATAAGGCTAAAGTGGAACAAAACTAATGACCTCAAAACAAGGATTAACCAAGGGGAAAACTAGTGGATAAGAGAAGGAATAACTAACTTAAACTAGACCAAGGAATAAACAATAGAGAAAAAGGATATAAATCCTGACAAAACAGAATAACATAAAGCATAACTGAGATTCCAAAATGAAAACTTAAAATGAACCAAAAAGTGCAGAGTGGATCATGACATACATAGGTTGTATTAATATACAGTAGCTATTACAACCCCTTATTGATGTATACCTAAATTGTATCATAATAGAGGTAATATTGAAAGCATAGTAGTCTTTTAAGGGCTGTCAGCATATCCATCTACTCTGTCATATAATAACATGCAGGTATGCAAACTCATAGTTCTGTGCAAGGGTACCAGCATATCTTAAGAACAGATAAAATTTCTATGACATAATTTAAATGGAGTAATGTACAAAAATGACATCTAAGTAGTAAAATAGTAATTTTCTACAACTGATTATTGGACTTTAATCTTACAGGTATGCGCATCCTGGTGAACTTGCTGCTTGACACTCTCCCCATGCTGGGCAACGTGCTGCTTCTCTGCTTCTTCGTCTTCTTCATCTTTGGCATTATTGGCGTGCAGCTTTGGGCGGGACTCCTGAGGAATCGATGTTACCCTGAAGAGAATTTTACCATGTGAGTACAAAGAACAAAAATAAAAAGTTCAAGCAGGATTTATGATGCTCTTTCCTCAAATATTTGCGTTCCACTTTTTTTTAACCTCATCAAACCAGTATTGTTGTAAGAAATCTTGCAAATCTCTGTGAATGTTTCTTTTTTATTATTAAATCTCTATATTTTGATTATGCAAGAAAGCGCAACCCATTTTCATGCTTTCATCATTAATCTTTTTCATCGCAGCCTGCAGATTCTCTTCTCTATCTGGGTCCTAAATAAAAAATAAATAAATTTATTTTTTGCAACTGTGATCACGATTAGTTTCCAGCTGCATCCCACTATATTTTCAACTCCATGTGATAGAATCACCTACTGTGTCTTAGAGCATGAGTGACACTCAATCTTATTCAACTGTGTTTCATTGCATTTCCTTTATGCTTGTGTCAGCTCACTGGAAAGCAAATCAAACTGTATCTGCTCTCAATATGTATGAACTACATTCAATCATATTCTTATGTGTTTCCTGCTGACACATCCTTCACTAATTGTCAATCAAATAATCAGATGAACAGAGACACATTCACCTTAGAGTTTCACATCAGTCGTATGTACTTATGTTCTTTATTTGATATGAGTTTATTACATTCCCAAAGCTAAATGAACAGCTATATTGCAACATGCCAACTGTTTCACACCTTTGCACTGTTTATGCAGGAAATGTGTGCATTCCTCAAATTTTAAAGCAAGGGCTACCTATTATACAACTAATGCCTTATGTGTGCATATTATTTCTATTATACATTAGGTATAGTCAAGGGGCTGGAATGGAATGGATTTGAAAGGTGTGAGTTAGTGCAAGAGGACTATTATGCTAAGTAAAGGGCATATGTTTGTGAAGTTATAATGAGGTGGGCTAAGTGCTGCTGTCAAGTGCAGCATTTGTTTTGCATTTTTATACTCCCTCTTTCAGTCTGCATAATTCATTTTATACTCAGGCTTGAATTGTTAACAGTGTTTTGTTTCCAAAAAATGTAGTCTGTTCTTTTTTTTTTTTTTTTTTNTAAAGGGCATATGTTTGTGAAGTTATAATGAGGTGGGCTAAGTGCTGCTGTCAAGTGCAGCATTTGTTTTGCATTTTTATACTCCCTCTTTCAGTAAGCTTCGCAATTTTTCTTCTGCTCCTTTTAAAGCATAAATTCTGCTTTTTTCCACTGACTTAATAAGATTTTTTTTTTTTTTTTTTTTTTTCTGAGGGTCACGTGTTTTCTTAGACCTAGCTGAACAATGTAATTACACAAGTCCTTTTACTGGGACAGTGTAGAGTGTCCATTTTTTTTTTATTTGTCTGCAAGTTTAAGCCAGCTATCAAATTCATGTATCTTACAAGAAACTTTTAGCAAATTGTTTTTGACCTATTTTTCACATTTAGCACATTTTTTGTTACTCCCATTCCTTGGCCCTTCCCTCCAACTTGCTCTCCATTGGCAGGTGTGTTCTCAGTGTGAAGTCAGGTTGTTCTGTGCCATGCTGTGCAATGCCAAGTCTCTAAGCAGGGGGGGACAACAACCTTCATTCATGCTCCACTAGTCTTTCTCCTTATCCTTACTTTCTTTCCAGAATTTGTTGGTCAAGTCCCATATATGGGTTAAACCCTTCAAAAAATAAAAAAAGAAAAGCACAAAAAAATGAATATATATCTGAGACTTTGATAAGTTTGCATGGGAGGGATATTTTAAAATTTGGATTTGGACCATGACTTCTGTAAGTATTTTACAGAGGTACTTATAGAGGGATTATGGCTAAATTTACATTCTCTTGATAATCAAGTTTTATATCTGTCTAAGGTTCAATGGTATTAGAGAAGTTTGAAATTGCAATGATATTGTTGGTTATTACACTGGTCTTTAACAGCTCCACATTTTCTTACTCTTTGTTCGCTTTTCAGTTATTACAATATCATCACAATTTATTATCATCGATTGCATCAAGCGACTATTGGATGGGAGCTGAAATATAACAGCCCCCAAAAAATTAACCAAGCAGCTATGTTACACTTTATACTGATACTGCAATAAAAGTTGAGATTTAATATATTATTTATTTCTACATTTTTGGATATCACACCATTGTGTAGTAGTGTGTACTATTTCATAGCTTTTTTTATTCTATCTAAAGCTAGTCTCTGCAGGACTTTTTAAGAAACAAATTAAAAATGTTAATATCATTTATGGTATAAGTCCCCTTCTCTGCTGTTAGGAGATCTAAAACAAATAACTGTCCATTCATCCATTTTTCATCACGCTTATCCCAAGCGGGGTCATGAGGGATGCTGGTGCCCATCTCCAGTTGTCGCCGGGTGAGAGATGGGGTAAACCCTGGACAGGTTGCCAGTCCATCACAGGGCAACACAGAGACAAACAACGATGCATGTACACAATCACACCTAAGGAGAAATTAGAGAAGCCAATTAACCTAACAGTCATGTTTTTGAACTGTGGGAGGAAGCCGGAGTACCCGGAGAGAACCCATGCATGCTCAGGGAGACATGCAACTTTCATGCAGAAAGACCCCGGGCTGGGATTTGAAACCAGAACCTTCTTGCTGCAAGGCAGAATTGCTACCCACTGCACCACTGAAGTATTCTAATTTCTCTTCTGCTTTGCCATTAGCTGGAGAGAAAATATTAAATTAGAGATGAAAATTAAAGACAGAGGTCAATGATAAGAGAAGAGGATTGTGAAGTTAAAATTTCTGTAGAACGAGAATAGTGTACGTCATTTTTAGAGGGAGATTCAGAAAGCACAGTCAACAAAAGTTTGCATAGAATATCTGATAATATATATTTGTCAGTTTTCCTTATTTTTTCTTTCTCTATCTCGCACTATTAACTGGAATCTCTACGAAATATAAATTCCATCAATGAAACAAGTTTTAATACAGAATAGAGATGTAAAAGCATTTATCTTTTCTGTTTTCCAAGCCTTAACCTATATATATATATATATATATATATATAAAACCATACTTTTATTTTACAGACCTTCAGGTATGACGCTGCCAGCTCCCTATTATCGTCCAGAGGAGGATGACGAGCGACCCTTCATCTGCTCCCTGGGTTCTGATAATGGCATCATGTCATGCACTGATGTGCCAGCAAGGCGGGAAGGAGGACGCATTTGTTGTCTTGATAAGGAAGACGCTTTGCACCGACAGTCTTTGGGCCTAAGCCCTGAGCCACTGTCTAATGGCAGTGGGGCTGGGGAAGCTCTGGGTCTGTGCATCAATTGGAACCAATATTATACCAGGTGCCATACTGGAAGCAATAACCCCCACAAAGGAGCAATCAACTTTGACAACATCGTCTATGCCTGGATAGTAATTTTTCAGGTATGTCCCATTTTCAAAAAAGATCCATCAGATCAACTAAATTCAGTAAAAAAAAATAAATATGCATGTATATATATATATATATAATATATATATATATATATAGTGTGTGTGTACGTGTGTGATTGTGCATGTGTGGGAGAGTTTATTGGGAATATAGGTGTGTGTGATTCTGTGCTTATGTAACTGTGTTATAAAAAATTTCACTCTCTTAAGATGTCTCTGTCTATTTTAAAGGTGATAACTTTGGAGGGCTGGGTTGAGATCATGTATTATGTGATGGACGCACACTCCTTTTACAACTTCATCTACTTCATCCTACTCATCATTGTAAGTAACACTAGTAAAGACTTGTACTATGTTTGCTTAAAGGGCTTAACGTGTGAGTTAAATGAAATGTTGCTTGGAGAAACCTGGAATTGAAGCATCCTTTCAAAGGGCTTGCAGCAGTGTTCGCTGCGATGAACCACACCGCCAAGTAAATCGTTTTTTTTCTGCACAGATCCGGCTTTACCTTGCCACAACAAACCTTACTTTGTAATAATTGGAAATATGATACGTATTTTTTATTTTTGGAAATTAAAGAAAGGAAAACATGTGTGAGACAGTGTGAGACTGAACATGTAAGAAATATATGTTCTCTTGTTTCATGTCGGACAATGGATAAAATGGATCTTTTTAAAAGAAAAATGTTTATGTTGAATAGAAATCATAAGCAAAACCTTCTTTTAAATTTAGCTCATCCCATTTTGCCACCATTTTGCCATTTTTTATTATTCATTTTTCAAAAAAAAAAAACTTAAACAACCGAAAGATTCACTAATCAGGAGGAATTTTATTTTATATCAGTGTGTATCTAAATTGAATTTTATGTTCTGTATTGAAATAGAAATAGAAATGCACAACCCTGCAGGAGATCGTCAGTGCTGCTGCTGCTCTTCTGACAGCATTGCTGAATTATTTTATTTCATTTACAAATATTTAGATTACCTTTAAAGAAATGGAAAGGGTTTGCATGTAATTTATTATATGTAGGTTATTTCTATTGTTCTCTGCTTTTATGATGCTAGTTATTCTTAATGTCTTTCTCCTAACTGATAATTTTTTTACAATTAGATGCTTGTATTGCTTTGTGGAAAGCCTAGTGTTTCAAGCTAGGAAAATTGTTGGAAAAAATCAGGGTCTCATGTAAAGATTTTGTGGAATTTATTTGTGCAAAAAATGTTTCATATTTATGATACCATGCAACCGCATGTAAACAAGAAAATTTCCATTTTAAATCACACCGGGTTGCACAAGCTTACCTCTAAGGCTCCACCTCATGTTCTCCCCTCAACATTCCCACATTTAACCATAAATGGTCCATGCAAAGTATTGTATTGCAAGCCCACTGATCAATGTTATTTCATGGTTACCAATGGCAGCTATGGGCAAGAGAGAGAAAAATAGCGTAGTTTAACCAATACATTTTTTTTGGTTAGTGAGTTAAATGCTTTTGGTACCCACAATAGTGTTGTTACAATGAAGGGAAGTGTTATAAATGGAAACAGAGTCTAATGGGTAGACTTATTTTATTAACAATAATATCACGGTGGCAGGCATAGTTACCTCTCATTTCCACCGGAAGCGTGGAACAGTCAGCTGATCGCAGAAATTCTTGCTTCTGAAACTTCTGTGAAATCAAACTCTCCACTTAGGAAGCAACACTGGTTGACAATCAATTTCACATGCTGTTGTGCAAATGGAATAGACAGCAGGTGGTAATTATTGACAGTTAGTAAGACACACTCAATAGAGGAGTGGTTCTGCATGTGGGAACCACAGACCACTTCTCAGTACCTATGCTTTCTGGCTGATGTTTTGGTCCAAAGTGGCCTGAATGTGAGGGAGACCTGGACATAGCCTTTAGGAGCAGCATTGATGCAGGGGGCCCTTGATAAAGCTCAGAGGATCATCTAGAAATTAAGTTGATTCTCAATTTTAAGACAGGAATGTGGGGCAGAGATGAGCCCTACTTTATCCCCTTGTCTAATAACTTGGTAGAATCGAATCCACCATCACCACCTTTTGTTACGCTGGTTCCTAATCCATTGAACAACAGGGAATCAGGACAAAAGTGTCAACGTGAGCCGCACAACGCTGGGGAGTATGATGCAGGCAGCACATGCAAGACAGGTGATCATGGAGATGATAGCGATAATGAAGGCGAGCATGGTAAGGATGATGGCAACTATAATGTAGATGTAGATTACTGACAGGAGGTGCAGATGATGACGATGATGTAGATGACTGCCCATTAGTAGCAGGCTCAGGTGTCCTGTCAAATCTGCAAAATGAAAAAGCTCTAAAGCATCCAAAAGTATGTAAAAGCAGCAACCACAAAATCTGTAAAAGTATTTTGTAGCGAATCTGGTTTACTGTCATTATTTGTGGAATATTTCTGAGATCACACAATGCATACTATAACTCTGCATACTGGTGTGTGTTTGTGTGCGCCTGCTTCCATGCATGCATAATGCAGCAATGATCTAAACGTGTGATATCCGACTGCCCCCCTTGATTATGCATAAAGCTGTCCACTGATCAGAATCACAGAATAGACACTCGCACAGATGCAAGCCTGGAAGGGAAATCAAAGCCTCACACACCTGCAGACCTGCTTTGACCCACAGACCACAGATGGGTGTCTCTCCTCCTTTCTTTCCACCTCCCAACTACATTTCCTCTTCGTGTTTTTCACTCCGTAAGATATCTCTCATTTGCCCAGACCTTCACCTTGCATTAAATCTTTGATCATTGCAGATCAAGGTCTAAATGTAGAAGGTGATTAGTTTTGGATTTTGTATTTGTGCATCTTTTTCTGAACATGCCTGTTCCCAAAGATTTGGCCTTCAAAATGTGTATTTTTCTCAAAAAACAGAGACCAAGAAACTATTTAGAGCTATAAGAAAAATATTGAGTTTTACGCCTTGTCCAGCAGCCTGATTTTAAGGTTTGTCAGCATTAGGAAGTATTGATATAATCATTGTTCTGAACCAGTAAGGGCCACTTACAGCACTGCTGAATGATTTCCATTACTACCTCTGGAAAGTGCCAACTCTCCTGTTTTTTAATCAGTTTCTTTGTCTAACAAGTACGCTGTGAAATATATTTTTCACATTTTTTCACATTTCTGCACCAAACTCAATGGGTCTGATTTAATACTAAGGTTTAAAAGAAAAATACCTTGTTAGCCCAAGCAAAACTGTTCTACTAACTAGGTGCACCAAGGATTGCGTCTGTAAAATGAGAGGAAATCAATTAGGCATAATTTTCTTCATGAATATGCAAGCCTATCCATCTGGGTACATTAGCTTCCTCCCATAACTCAAAAAGCTTACTGTTGGATTAAGTGGCATCTCTAAATTGCCCTTTGGTGTTTTTGTGATTCCCTATGATCTGTCCAGGTTGTACCATGTCCATTCCCGCCTAGGCTGCTGGTGATAGTCAACAGCCCTCTGTGACCCCATCAAGAGGATGGATGGAAATATAGCTTTTTTCTATAAATCCTGATCCTGTTGCCACTGTTCACACATCTGTGGTTCTGGAGCCATCCAAACTTGTTTTTCCCTTTCTTTTTATAAACTGAATACTGTGACTTTTAATGAAAGAAAAAAATAATAATACAAAAATCTTAACAATATTGTATAGATAGTACCGGTAGAAAGTATTGTAGCAGTATTCCTCAAGCCAGAAGTTACTCTGCCTAGTTGGTGATTCCAAGTAATCTTAAAGGCAATAAAGTCTTGATTATTATTGTTTTTTTTAAGTTACTTAAGTTTATTCTCTATCTGTGTCTCCTACACATAGCAATAATTTCCGGCATGTGTTTGCGGTGCTTTTGCAAATTTTAGTGGCCTTTTGGATTCAAAAATATAAATCCACTCTGCTCTTTAAAATTATTCATGGTAACAGCCTGTAGAACACACAAAGTCTTGATTTAGGTATGGCAGTCTGCACCACTTTAACACCTAAAATTAATTGTGCATTGTTTAGTGTATAGCTAGATTACCCGCAACAGGCTCAATAATTCGACATGCAATTTTGTGTAGCAGAGAAATGAAAAATAATACATTTTTATCTAGTTATTATTCTTTATAGATACAATTATAGAAGGGTGGCATAGATTTTGATTTAGACAAATCATTTGCAACCATTTAAGTGTCAGAGCTTATAGTAAGTGTATATTTATCCTTGGGGAAAATATAATTCCTTACATTCTTATGAATATATACATTGTTAGTGTAGACACTGATCTTTAATTGTTTTTTTTTAAGATTTGTTATGTTAAATGGTATTCCTAAATAACTATTACTTTCTATTCCCCTTTTCATACAGATTGGTTCATTCTTCATGATCAACCTGTGCCTGGTGGTCATTGCCACCCAGTTTTCAGAGACTAAACAGCGAGAGCACCAGCTTATGCAGGAGCAAAGGGCACAGTGCCTGTCCTCTTCCACCTTAGCTAGCATGGCTGAGCCAGGGGACTGCTACGAAGAGATCTTTCAGCTGGTCTGCCACGTACTTCGCAAGGCCAAGAGGAGGTCAACAGCACTCTACTACACTCTGAGAGGCAAGCCCGCTCCAGCCAGTGCAGGAAGGGGTAACAGACGAGGTGGAGGGAATGTAAATGGAGATCGACATCATTCAGGGCACCATAGATGTAAGTAAGAGTGAAATTACTAAAGGGACTATTTTTATGGCATAGAAAACACATGTTATAAAGACTACATAGCTGTTCAATGCATAAGACTAGATAGCATTCACTATACTTGTGTTTTTGTATTCCTACAGCCCTCAAATGTCCACACCACAGCAAGTCAAACCATGACTCCCAGGCCCAAGCTAATTCTATAAGCCTTACCGTCCAGAACCCTGAGGAGTGCCCCATCTGTACAAAAGAAGGTGCAACTACTACAGGACATTTGGAGAATGGGGAAGAAAACGAAGAGGATGCTGTAAAGGAAACAGACAAGGATAATCACTTAAAGGAGAAGAAAGAGGAAGAGATTGGGCGAAGGAGGACATGTTTTGGAAAGTGCAGGGATCTTTGGAAAGATATGAGACGGAAACTTTGGGGTATTGTGGAGAGCAAGTATTTTAGCAGGGGCATCATGATCGCAATTCTTATAAACACTATCAGCATGGGCATTGAGCACCACAACCAGGTAAGAAAATCAACCTTACTATGGCGTGTTCATGTTAAAGTTTTGGAATAACTAGACTGTAACTAAAATAGACTGTCGCTTGATATGTGGAGGGGTTGTATTGTAATCGCAAGGTTATGGATTTGACTCCAGATTACCCCTGTTAAATGTGGTTACATGTCAGAAAGCAAGGCATCTAACCCCAGGTTGATGATTATATCAGTGTAGCAGTTTATCTTGCAGATAATCAATTAAGTGAAAGTTGTGATAGTGTAGAGGGATTTATTTGTGAGTAGATAGTAGTGATATATAAATGTAGCTTAATTAGACATTAAAGTTGTAGGAAAGACATATTTAAATTTCAATTCATTCTGGTTTAAACATGTATATAAATGTACTCTTTATCAGACCATATTGTCCAAAGAGTTAGAAAATTTCTTTAAAAAAAAAAAAAAAATCCTGTCTTAAAATCTGTGTTTTTTTTCTCTCTTATTTTTTGCAGGCTAGTTAGTTATACGTCAGCTTGTACACCTAAATTCGGCCAATCATATATCAGCGGTCATCTGTCAATCATATTTTTTCAGTCATAGCATCTTGATTCATATGTCGCAGCAAATATAAGGGTTGAAATAAGAAAAAATAGAATCGTTTACTCTACCATTGAGTTACATCCCAGTCTTCACAGGGATGGATGTTTGTATCTTTAAGTGCTACTTGGTCCCAATGTAATTTTCCATTGGGAACCTACTAGCACTAAGTTGCTAAATGGTTAGCAAGATGCTTCCGAGACACCGGCCACAATCAGACTTTCTTGCCAACCTTCCAAGAACAATCCCGCTCCCTTGATAATCAACAAATCACATTCGCTTTATTCACTTGTGTAAAGTCATGCACCACTAGAGAACTGAAACCGTTGGAACAGCCGCTTCCCTACGGCTTTAAATTCACATTGTTTGGGTATTCTTTATTAATCATATTTGACTATTACTTAACCAGGAATTCGTCCTTGTGACTATAACATGAAATTGTTCAAATACATTTACCTGCACAAACACTTCCATTTGCTAAATGTTTTAAGGCAAACTTGAAATTTAAAGAAATATTTAAATTACTTTTTTTTTACGCTGCATTAGTTAAGTTATACATTTTGTAGTGTCCTTCCAGAAGCTTCCTCAAGAGACAGAGTAGTGCAGTTTTCTCAGATCCTCTAACCTATAGTAGTATGCAACCAGTATCCGTCACACTTATCCCAAGTGGGGTCACTAGGGGTGCTGGTGCCGATCTCGAGCTGTCTGGTAAGAGGCGGGGTACACACTGGACAGGTCGCCAGTCCATCGCAGGGCAATGCTGAGACAAACAGGACACACAACCATTCACGCACACACTCACACCTAAGGAGAATTTAGAGAAGCCAGTTGAATTAAATCAGTCTCAAAAGCAGGTAAAACCTTCTTAATAAAACCTGTGGTTAAAACATTGAAAGACCAGGTAGTGGAGCTTAACTGATGAACATTTTCTTCTAAACTTTTGCTGTTTATTTGGCCGAATTGTGACATTTTAACAGAGTTTCTTATAACTCCTGTCAGCATTAGTAAAGGAGTTGACGTACATGTACCGACTGTTTTTCTAATACCTTATAGTTTCCCTGTAAAGAACTTTGCAGGCCTTTTTAAATTGTAGGTTACTGGCCACAGAGAGAGGAGGGCTTGTTAACCTGTCAACTGAGGCAAATAAGGTGTAAGCATTGTTAATGTTTTTATTGATAATCTCAGAGAATAAAGATGCTCTTGGATCTTTTAGTTGTGAATGGTATTTGTGAAGTTTATAGATTTCAGATTTCTGTATTTTGTAACTCCTAGGAGTCCATTCTCTTGCCACCTTCATTTGGCTTCAATACTCCCTCTTTTCTTTTCTCAATGCTAAAACTTTTCTCCTTGGAGATTTCATCTGCCTGGAGACAACTTTCACTTTAACTTGAGCAATGGATTCAATGATGTATGCAACTTTAGAGAGAAAATGATCAACCAGCTCATCTACTGAGTTACAGGGTAAAGTGGAAGCAGGAGGATAAGCTTGTGTAAAGTTTTTGACCATACTGTTGGTTGAGCTTTTACCTTATAATTAAGATAAATTGTTCCATTTGTGAATTCACAAGCTTCCGAAAATTCATCTTGCCAGAAGCCAGTAGATGCATTGGCCTCAAATACAGATATGTTTCAAACCAATGAATAGCAGTGACGTGTATGATGCTAACAAAAGAAAAAAAACATGGCTGCGCCGGTGGATGTATTGTAGACATGTAGCTCCATCTGCTTTAGCTGGAATATCCTCTATTTCGTTTTTGGAAAAGTGAGCAATAGAATATAATCTGTGCCTTTGTGAGTGGGAAATATGTTTGCTTGTTGAGTGTTTTAGAGTGATTTATCACTTAACTCTGCTAGTTGAAAAACAAATCTGAAATGTGATACATCATAACAATTGGCTAAAAGCTCAACATGAGAGGCAGGTGCCGCTTAGTGATATACCCAGTCAGCTTGAAGAATTGTACTTAATGTCCTTCCTTTTGCAAACACTTTCCACATGAGCCTTTCTAGACGGATACTCTGTAGAATTAAATTGAACTGCATGTATCAATCTGGCTTCTGCCAGGTTTTCAATTTGGATAGTGTACTACTGTTTGTCCTTTTAGCTGTGTTCTTTCTTCCACGTATTAAAACTGAGATTTTAAAACTCTTCCTTTACGGGCCCCAACTTTTCCTGGAGAGGATCATTTCTGATAACGTTACCAAAAGAAGCCAAAGTTTAATAAAGAAAAGCAATTTGAAGTTCCTGTTTGTGAAACTTGTCAGCTTTCTCTGCATGAGAAGGAGACAGAGTCAGAGCTCTACAGTTTTTAGGTAGTGCTGCAAAAAGATATGGAAGAGAGGAGTTGGCAGAGGGACAGGAGGAGAGGCTTTGAGTTTTCATGTTGGGGGGCAGTTTCAGCAGTAGTCTTTGACTGGATACAGGTGATGGGGCTGTGGAGGGCTTAATGAAACCCAGTTAGAGAGTAGTTGGGTGTTCTGTGGGACTTGCAAAGTAGCCTGTATGAATCCAAGGGAAGTTATAATGCTCCAAAGCATTGACAAATCTGATCTCTTTGCCATTGCCTTATCTGCCATTATGGTTGTCCCTACCTTTTGTTCATTGCGTTGTGGTTCCTGTTTCAAGACCTCAGCAGGGTGACATTTATCATCAGGGAAATCATTTTCACATACACATCATATTCCTTGTTCATGGAATACAAAAGTTGGAAGCCGAAAGTTTTGCACCTCACCCGTTTAGGTAAAATCCATCCATCTTAAAGAGGTTTCTCTTTTCCTAGAAAATATTAAAGCCGACTGATCTCCTGCTCAAAGAGTTCCTACAAGTCCACTATCAATCCATCTTATTCCATCAGGGTTGCGGTGGAGTCAGTGCCTATGTCGGCAGAACCTTTTGGCTGAAAGGCAACAGTGCTACAAACTGCGTCACAATGCAGCCCCAAATATTTCAAATGTAAACTTTGCAATATAATTCAGTGTTCCAATGTTTAGGACAACTGTCTTCGAGGTTGGATGTAATTCTGTGACATGTGCCATCCTTTTTGAGATTTCAGACACCATGCTATAGCCAACATTCACCATTTCTTTGTTAATTAAAAACGGTAGTTTGAAAAGCAATAAGTAAATGCTGCTGCTGCACAGGCATCTCAGTGGAAATGTTATGGAAGCCCTCGCAATGACGTCAAAGTCAGAAAAGAATTACCATTATTGTTCAGACTCTAGATTTTTTAAAACTACTGGATATGTATCGGAAGTACCACATATGGAAATTGGTTAAACCAGATTTTTTAGCACTGTATAAGATAAAAATTTGGCTGTTGAGACTGCTGTGAAGAAGTCAAATTTGCAAATTGGTAAAAATAACAGATAGAATTTGCATTTGCCTGTATTGAGAATGTAGCCTTAGATGCATCTCTGCTTTACACACCTGACTCCAGTATGACCTTCCTAGAAGAGCTAGTGAGGCAGTTAAGCTATTTACATGCGGCAAGGGATGTATCTAAAAGTTGCTGGATTTGGACCTTTGAGGATTTGAGTTTGAGACCACTGCTCCAATGTAAGCTTTTCCAGTAAGTGTTTAGGTATTGGATAAGTCACTGTCCCTCTTTTAAAAAGAGTATTTTTGTAACTCTTAGACTTTTTGTTCTCTTTTAGAAGTATTTCTAAAAAATAAATTACAATCATTGCTGGAAATTTAGTTTTTTACCTAGATAGTCCAGAAAATACCCTAAGTTGTTTTTTTCAGTTTTTCTCTGAAAGTCATATAATTTATGCATACAGTATATATACATATACTGTACAATGCACTTATTACCACTTCTTTTATTTTTGGTATATTCTAAGTATTGTATTTATTTGTTCACTGACTGGAAAAGCTCTGAGCCAGCAAATATAGTGATTGTTTTGGAACATTGCATTCAATTATTTAGATTGGCACACAGCACTATGGTGTCAACAGAGTGAGTTGGTGTGATCATTTCTCACTTCCCTCTCACTCCAGTGATTCACAGAAAGAAATACTGCAACAGATGAGATTTCCACAGATGAACGTAGGCGTAGATCATCAGTGCCACACAGTTTCTTGACAGAGGTATAAACATTTAGCCCCACAGCAGGCAAAACATAGCCATCTCTTTAACATAGGTCCAGTCTCTTTAGAAGCAAACAAAGTAGGTGTCAGTGAGCAAGAGTGGAAAAAGCCTGCCAATAACATGGTCATGCAAACACACTTTTTTTGACCTGTTTGAGTGAGCCCAAACAAAAATCTTTTTTGTGTTTCTCTAAATGCATTAACTGAAAACATCCATGCAAAGACTCACAAGCTGTTATGTAAGACAGTTTGATTCCTTTTCGTACCCCTCTCCCATTCAGGCTATTATTCTTCACTGCCTTAGTTCCTATTATTGTTTCCTCCTCACTCTTTCCCTCCAATAAGACCATTCTTTTAGCTTATCCTTCACACTTTTTCTATGATCACCCCCCCACCCCACCCTGTCTGCCTTCCTACAGTTGTTCCTCTCTTACCCCAAGTGTCTAATCTATGACTTTTTTGTTACCTCCTTTGGTTTCATCCTCTGCCTTTCCACTTCCCCTGTCATCCACCCACTCACTCTATGACAGTGTGCAGAGTATTTGCTTTCTTTTTTTTCTCTCATCTCTGAAGACTCTAAAAATAAATGAGAGGGGATAGTGTTGGGGGATCATTAAACACATTGTTCTGTTACGTATTTATTTTGATATATTTTATCTATTTTGTAGGCAAGTTGAACTGCCCCTTGCATGGTATTTCGTCTTTTTTTATTAAATCAAAGCACAAACAAATTTCACCACAGTGGGACAATGAAGGATATTTGTAATATCAACATAAACAAGTGATATCTGCAGTACTTTAGATGTTTTGCTACTTTCTTTTATGATGTCTTTAATAAGTTGTTGACCCCGTCTTGAAGTAACTTTGGACTGGTTGGCCACTAGGGCTGGGTATTTTTGCTAAAAGTCCTGAATCGATTCGATTTTGATTCATACAGTTCTAAATTGATTAAATTTGATTCAATCTGTTTTTACAATAATGAAAGTGGTTCAACTGCGTTTCAAAATACTTATGTATTTTATTTTTTCCTGTCATATTAAACTCAAAGTGCAAACTTGTAAATCAGACAGTTTAAACTTGGCATGTGAACAAAACTGTCTCAAAAGTGTAAACTTGTTTCTGAAAAGTGAAAAACTGAAGCCTCACTCGAGCAAGCAGACGTGACACAGCAGGGACACAGCAGACATGCATGAGCTGAATTATCTTCACTGCACAAACCATATTTGCAGCGTTGTCTGTAACAATTACAGGGTGTTTCCTGGTCAGTCCCCATTTGTTTATGTCTTCAGTCAACCTATTGGCTATATTTGCAGCTGTCTGGCTTGAAGTAATCTTGAGTGCATCTTTCCTGCTCATTTGAATGTGAACATCACGCTCTTCACAATAAAACTAATTGATCTCATTCCCTAGACATCGAGTTTGCAAAAATGTAAAGGAATCGATTCAGAATCAATTTTTTTACCCAGCCCTATTGGCCACTCTATGAACAGTTTACCACTGTCCATTATTTTCTTTTTTTGTAAATAATGACTCATTGTTGTTGTTATTAAAATTTCTCTGCTAATTTCTCGACCGAAATTTTTAACATCTCAAATGAATTCAGAATGATGAATCTTGTGGACCCTGTTGGACAGGTACAGATGATGATCATACAGTGGAGCAGAATGGGAGAGTTGTATTTTTTGAGTTGGCAAAGTCAGAGCAGCATGTATTTTTTTTTTTTTGCTGCAAAGAAGCATTCAGCAAATGCCTGCAGCTGATATATTTAATCTAAGGGAAATGTTTGTTAGTTACATTAATGTCAATTTTCTAGTTAGGACCTGATCTTAAAAAAAAATCCAAATAATGAATGTTATTAGCTACGGCAAACAATGCGATAAGTGGGCATGTGATGCACACATAATGTGAATGCAATTAATAAAACATGCAAACTGTTTTGGTTCCACCCCAATTAAATAAGGATTTAGTATTTATGCTTTTTGTCTAGAATATTACTAGCTTAATCAGTAAATCTTGTAAGACTGGCTATTTTTTTAAGTCAAGAATGTAGTTGTTGTCACTTAAGGCATCACCGTTCGGTCTTAGGAACCTGTCAAATAGCAAGAGTAGGAGAAATGTTTTTTGAGGAAAAATTTTTGGAACAGAAAATAATACCTGTGATAAAGGAATAAGGCTATGTTAAACAGGGTAAGACAGCAGTAGACTGAGTTAAATAATAAAAAGTAATAAAGCAAGAAGAAGATGATCTTGAAGCTGATGACTGGCTTAATTACTAATTCCATTCACCTGTGTAACTCTGCCCATTATCCAATCACTGCTCATGTGGTTCACCTGCTCCTGTCTCTATTAAAGGCGCTTGCTCCCAGTCATCTGGGCCACATTACTCTTATTCTTGCTAACCAGTGGTGAGAGTGTTTTTAGAGTTTCTTGGTGTTTCTGATTTGATGATCCTGACCTGTTCTGCCTCTCAACCACTGAGCATTCCTGTGTACTGTCTGATCGCAGTGGTGAGAGTGTTTTTTAGCATTACCTTAGTGTTTCTCAATACCTGATCCTGACCTGTTCACTCTCTCAACCACTGAGCCTGCCTGTTCATGTCTAATCTTTTGCCTGACCTGGCTTCGAACTCCTGGACCTCTGAGCCTGCCTGTTCCTGTTCTGATCTATTTGTCTGGCCTGGCTTGGGACTCCTGCATGTTCTACGGGGCTGCAGCATCTGGGACATTCTGGGCGGCAACCACTATATCTTGTTGACAGCCCACCGGCTGGATCCTACCTCATTCTCTGGGCATGGACTGAACTTAAAAACTAGAGGTTCCAGCCTTGGCTGCCCTAACCACTTCTATACAGTGTTTATTATTTTAAGTAAACACTTTTGAAGTAATCCCACTGGCATTAAATACTGGACCCTCTGTTCTGTGCTCTGACAGGAGACTATAAAAAAAAATTTGGACAAAAACCTGAGCAGGGTGGGATGATGGCATTGTATCTGAGTTAAACATTGATGTCAAGTCATAACAGTAATATGGATAGCAACAAATCTCTCATCTTGTGTTGAGGCATGATGAGTGGGGAGGATTCTGGATTAATGACATGGTGTTATTGTAATGGATCAACATGTAAATGTTCCTCCAACACTGGGTAAATAATGATAAATAAGTACTTATTTTTCCTCTGTAGCAAACAGTTTTCTATGTAGCCTTTTTGTTGTCATGTTGTCTTGTTACCTTTTCTCCTAACCCATCTAGTCATCACCTGCACCATCCTTTCCTTTCCTCAACTCCTTCTTCTTAATTCACTCCATTCCTTTCCTGTTCTCTCTCTACTGATCGACAGGGTGATATCGATTAGAAGAGAGATGGGTCAGCTTGATAATGAGACTCTGAAAAAAAGAAAGTGAGCAAAAAGGATAGAAGAACTAGGGGAATGGAGATAGATTGGTGGCAAAAGCGGATTAGAGCCAGGGAGGGCTCAGAATGTGTGTTTCTCTGACATGGTTTGCTAACTTTGGCAAGGCTCTGCTGCCTTTTTTCCTCTGCTGGCTTTGAAACGGAAAATTTGCAGGGGGTATCAGTGAAAGCATCTGATCCATATTGTGCAAACACAGTCATATTCACAATTCGCTGGCATAAAGTGTGTTTTGTCACACACAAATGGAAGCAAACCCTAAAGTGACTGTATTATGTATATCGGCTTTGCTGCTTATGCAGTGCTGTTTTCATGCAGTGTACTGTAAAAGTATTTCGGATTTACAGTGAAATACCTATACAAAGTAACACAAGTTACATAAATGAAAAATGATACAAGCTTCCAAGGTAAAGAAAAATAGGTTGTTCTGGTTATGTGTTCAGGCTCCCTTAATCACTTCTGTAAATAACAACCATTTGCAATAATTCCAACTTTGTCTTTTTGAGAAATTTTTCTATCAGCTTTAGATTTAGACAATAAAGATGAATTCAAAATGTGACTAGAAAAGTGATTACAGTTAGTCCCCTTAATTTTTTTTTACAACCACCTTTTACCACAGTTGCAGTTATTTAT